AGGAAAGGATGAGGATCCAGAAACAGTACCCTATCTATTCGGTGAAGTGCCACCTCCCAGAGGTGGTTGGGCTCCAACTCCCATCATTCCCAGCCAGCAGAGGCTGTGGCCAGCGATAATAGGATTTGTAGTCCCAGCCACAGAGGGAGGCCCCTTGGCTTGTGCCTTCCCCTTGGGCCTCTCTGGAAGAAAGCAGCCCCTCGGTTCACCTTGGGTGGGGAGCAAGTAAAACGCAACCCGACCCCCAACGATGCTGGAGGACTACAAAGCCCAGCGACACGCCACCCCATGGGCTTCACGGGCTTAAACGGCTGGACAGGGTAGTCCAATGGCTTTCCCCAGAGAAGGAGGGTTTCTAAGGCTACTCTTCCGCCCTGTCCGGAGAAGACCGGGGGGGGAGGAGGCTGCCGTAAAGGGGTCCTCTGGTGATCAGATCCCCCCTGTTTGCAGGGTTCGGGGGCATGCAGATCATTATCCAGAGGTGCCCCAGATGCCCTTGCTAAACACCGACAAGAGCAGCCACCCTCCACTGCCAGCTATCCTGCATCTGGCTGCATCCTGCCTCTGGGATGGCGAACGTTTGGACCCGCTGGAACTTGGGGGGTAAATAGCAAAGACTCTCAGACATTTATTATGCCGACCCCAGAGGAAAAAAAAAACATTTGCACGATTTGTGCGTGATATCTACAAATACACTCAACAGATAAGCAGGCGCCTAAGCCTTCTGCGCCCTGGATCAGGGTGAAAAGGATGGTAATCTTAACATAGCTACACTAGAGAATCATGGCACCAGGAAACTATCACAGAAGCTGTTGCCCCGTCCAGGGGACTCTGCATCTCCAGAACCACGCAGGCATATCCTGGTTTCCCTGCCAGGAGGAGCCCTCAAGGCTGAAAAGGGGGAAGTGTTTCTGGGGGCTCCATGGCCAGCTGAGGTCAATAACATATATACAGATGCACACACACACGCACTTTAAAAACCTTGGAAAGGGTTGCCATAAGTTGGAATCGACTTGATGGCATGTAATTCTTATAACCATCAGTACTTCAAAGGGTTCTAGCTTCCTACATCACATGCATTTTAAGATTCCTTCGTTTTCATTCCTTTGCTTTAGCATTTCTTTGCTGGGCACCCTCTCAATCTAAGAAGCCCTAAGCGTCCTGCAATAAAAGATAAAACACTTCCAGTGCTTTTATCCTTTCCCCAATAGCTTCTGTTAAGGTCCACAGTTCCGTTCCGTACAGCAGAACTAAGAGTAAACAGCACAGGGCGATGCACATTCTCAAAGCCAATTTGAAGGTTTTGGCATATCTTAATCTCTTTTATTTTAAGGAAGGAGCTTCAGGCCACTCCTGCTTTGCCTGAGATTGTGTGACTAGGCTCCCATCGTTCCTTCAACGGGATCCCAATATACTTCTCACTGCACACTTACCTGGGAAGAAACCCAATAGAATTTGGCCGCTGTTGAATGACCCTGCCTAAGATTGCTCTCTTGCAGAGACTGGATTCTGTGTTAGAAATTACGCGAGCGGTTGCTTCTTCCTCCTGCACGTTCAAAATTGAAAGAGGCCCAGCTTCTGCGCTGCTTCTCACCTCGCCCCCCCCCAGACCGCAACACCTCAGTTTGCTCCACGGTCATGCCTATGAGAATGCTTCAGCCACAGAATACGCTTAGCAGTAGCTGCTAAAATTGCCCCCTTTCAGGCTTACATTTGGAATCGAGTGTCAAACCTTCAAGCGTTACTAAATTAGGGAATGGAATTGTTCATCTGGATTTTTTTTTAACACACACACAAAACTTTCTACATGGTTAGAAAAAGATGATTGAATCAACATTTCCCATTGCCCAGGGGGAGGGGGAGTGCCTGCTTTGTGGTCAAAATGTCTAACGTTGGCATTTTTGGACAAAAAGTTCCTTCTCTTTTAAAAAAATCCTCCAGCCAGCAGAGACAGTGATTGTGAGAGATTGTAGAACAGTTTTTTCTTTAAATTAACTTTTCTGAGTTCTGGGATCTACCACATTTAAGGGTGGCTCTCCTAGCTTAGGGGCCTCAGCATGAGTCGGGTCATAGGCCTAGCTTCTGCCCTCTAACACCCCATAATATCTGCCGCCCGAGGCTCCTGCCTCACATCAACAGTAGGGCTCCTCTGACTTTTAATGGCAACTGGACGAGGCGTCCCTGGGCAGCAGAGCAGGTCCAAAGCGTGGCCTCCCTCTGCCCTCCCAGTCTGCTTGCAAAGAGTTCCCATTTCTACCAGCAGGAGAAACCTTCGGACAAGATTATGATGTTATTGGATATACTGGGCACGTTCTGATGTAAGTGGATGGATGCGGGCAATTCTCCGTTCACTGGGGTCACAAATCCACTCCGCTTTCTGCCTGAGAGTTACAGGAGCTCTCCAAGGTCCTGGACCTCTTTGGGGGCATGACGTTCAGCACCTTGGAGAGCTCCTGCAACGTTCAGACCGAAACCGGAAGTGGATTATTCCCCATCCCTTGGAGAATTAAGAGTCACCCACCTCCGTCATGAGGTTGCACAGCTGGGCTGCCCCGATGATGACATCACAGCTGGCACATCCAAGGTTTTCCCCCTTTGCCACCCGCAAGTGAAGCCCAGAAAGGCAGAAGTCAGGACGGGTTCTCTGCTTGAGCTTCCGGGGGCTTTATGAACAGGGGAGAGATGTGAAGCCCCAGGGAGAAAAACCACCCTACAGGCCTGTGGGGAGAGTTGTTGTTGTTCTCCGCCTGTCCTGGTGCCCCCCTCCACACCCACATATAGAATCCCCCCCTCCTTTCACTGCAACCTCCTGACCTGGCCGGGGGGCATCTGTCCTTCTCTCTGTCTCTACTCACCATGCAGCCCAATCATTGTTTCCAAGATTAAAACCCTCTCTGCTAAAATCTTCAAAGCCTCTCGGAGCTGGTGTAACCCCTCCCCCTGCGGACGAAAGAGACAGATACAGGCGTGAAGGGAGCGCACACGGGGTGGGCACGGGTGCAAGGGAAGGGGGGGCGTCGGAGGAAGCAGGAGGGGGAGGGGCTGGCCCTTTCTCCAGTCCTACTCTTTGGCAGCCATCAAGACCAAACCCCTTGCCCCCCCACCCCCATGTGTGTAAAGAAGCACAAACTTTAAGACAAGATGGGAAGTGGGGGGGGAGATCAATCTTTGTCAGTGCATTAGGGACATTGTCGTGCATTCGCTGTTCTCTAGGGAGGTGGGGAGGCTCAGGCTTATGGGGGGCATTTAGCTGGTGCAGCTTAGGGTCCATCTGCATCAAGGGGAGAGAGAGAAGTTAGCAGAGGAGGCAGGAAGAGTGAGCCAGGCCAAGGTTCCATCCATGCTTTAACCACTGCTGATGGTCATCACCACCCTCGCTGGGTGTATCCACCCTCCCGTATTACAGCCATCTGATCCCACTTTAGCCACCATGGCTCCATCTTCGGGAGTCCTGGGGTTTCTAGTTTGGTGCGGCACTTAAAACTCCCCATCAGAGAGCTTCCACACACTGCCATGGTCGAGGTGGTGTGCTGGCTTTCCTCTGCTTACAACAGCCCGATGAATAATTGACATCCCAAAAGGTCTTGTCATTAACGGCAGAAGTTTTGCAAACTCAAAGCCCCGGCTTTCCTTTACGCAGAGCGGCTCCATCGCAGCCCCCACCCCACCCCACCCTGAATCGCAGCAGAGAACGTGGAGTGGGTCCTCCTGCCAGATTCCTTCAGAGGGACTCACGAAAGGGGAATCCAACTGGCTGAAATAACTCGTGTCGTACAGAGAGACCTTGAGTTGGCGTGGGACATTGAAAGGCAGGGGTTCCCAGCCTCAGTTTCCCAGACGTTCTTGGACTGCCACTCCCAGAAGCCTTCGCCACCAGCTGTGCTGGCCGGGGTCTCTGGGAGTTGCAGTCCTAGAACATCTGGGGACCCAAGGAGGGGGGGACACTGTTCTAAAAGACCTCTTTGGAAGGTCCCCAACGAGGTTCTCCGCAGCTTCTTGCTTAAATGCTTCCCCTTGAAGAGTGCAGACTCTCTCCTTCCCCAGCGGCCGGTCCCACCCTTTTGTCTTGATTCTCCACACCCACCTGCTTCCCTCGGTCCCAGCCAGAGCGCACCTCAGCACAAGAGAGCATCCCGTACAACATCCGGATCTCAAACTGGGAGTTCCCCCCTGCCCCTTCTTGCCTGTCTCCTCTCCACGATGTCCCGGGAAAAGGAGAAGGGAGGGGAGCAAGACAGAGAGGACTGGGGCAGAGGAAGAGGACAGAAGAAAGCACCGTCTCCAGTCTCTCCGGCGCAGCCCCCCCCATTTGGGCAGCCCCCCACTTTTTCCTAGCAGAAAGGGAAAAAAGGGGAATTGAATCTCCGGAAACTTTGGGATTCATTTTTAAGAGAGCCCGTCAGCCCCCTTTTCAATGTCCCAGAATATACCTTTTCCAAAAGTGAGAGTGAGGCTGCCGGACGCTTCCAATTTCTTTTTCTTTTATTTCCTTTGTTTCTTTGCCTTTTAAAAAGGGATTTTTGACCCTATGTGTGGCCTCCAAGGGTCCCAGGGACAGAAAATGGGGGCCGGCCCGGTGGGGAGCGCGCTATCCGGAGTGTGGGAGGGAAGCCCTACGGAAGCGCTTGCCCTTCCTTTGTACTTAATAACAAGGTTTTCAATCCCCTGCCAAGCATGCTGGGCTGATGGGGGATGATGGGAGTTGTAGTGCAACACACTGAAAGGCCCCTAGACGAAGCGAGGTGGTCCAGGTAGGCACCAATTGCTTCTCAAATCAAGGTGTCTTTAGGGTGATGGTGTTGTCGTTGATTCAGGGGGTGGGCTAAATGCCTCAGTCGCCTTTTGACTGGTTAATCATTTATTCTTGAAGTTAACCAGGTTGCTGTTTGTTTTAAAGTTGTTGTTTTTCCAATAAAGTGCTCAGGAAAAGCTACATAGAGCAAATCCCAGTTTTACAGGCAAACTGTAGGTCACCCTAACCTGTTCCCCTGAAAGAACGCTGGTGTAAAAATGAAATTAATTGAGGAAACCACTTTGACCAGCATAGACCTCAACCCTCTGCGTATTCTTTCTAAGGTATGCACATTTCCACATGAATCAATAGGTCTTACTCCCAAATACATGCATACGCCATGGTAGCCTTTTCATTTGGCTTGTTTACTTGACTTATTTAGATGCAGTTTATCCCTCAAAATACCAGAAAGGAAAGGCCAGGAAGAGTTTTAAGTCCCAAAGCCTCTTTTTTTTTTCTGAGATTATGAGGTCCTATTTTTTATTGTCTTCAGAGGAGACACAGAGGAGCACTTCTGGGTAAAAAAGGAGGTTCAAGAATTCAAAAGCACTTCCACGGGGTGTGTGACAGAAGCCAAGCAGACAAAAAAAGCCTTCACAACCCCTTTCAGTCCTCAGAATTGGGCCACATCATGGGGGTCAAGGGGACTACCCCTCTTTTCAATGAATTAAAAGGGGGGCAAAACACGCCTTGCATTTATTCATTAAATCACCCCAGCTTTGCCTTACAAAGCAAAGTCCCACAGCCATTTTTTAAAAGTTGCAAAATGTTTGAGAAGAGGAGAGTGAAGCAGCTAAGAGACTAGGAAATAAGTANCCCCCCCCCCCCAAAAATCTGAAGGTTTTTTTTTAAATCATAGCTCCCCTCCCCATCAAAATGAAAAATGTTATTTAGCAAGTACTGGCATCCTTAAAAAACTATATTCACCAGCCTTGCACTCACTTTTCCCCCCCTGGGTGATGGGAGACCCATGATCAACACTTCCTACTTTAAGAGAGAGAGCTAGTTTCAGTGTTTGATCCCACAGATTGGATCGGGACCATAATCCAGGGGGAAGGAAAGGAGCATTTCTCTGACACGGATCTTACAATACATCTGTCTTCATTACCCTCCTTATACATTAGTCTTCCTCCTGTTGTTACATTTGCCCTACACAAATGCTCTGATATACAGTAGTCATCTCTAAATGGAAAATCTTTCCTTGCTGATCTGTCCTTTATGTCCATACTAAAGGAAATGGAAAACCTAAGAAATTTTTTGGAGGGTGGCGGCGGCACTGTCTGTAAAAACAACCTTGGTAGTGGCAGAAGAGAAGAACATGACGCAGAAATGTTAGGTGCCCGCACACCAAAACGGAGATAGAACGAAAGAGTATTTTGGAGCATGCGCCAGGGAAAAGAAAAGGCAGGGAGAAGACAAGCAGGCAAACGGATAGATGGACAGGCTACCCACTTCTCTCCATGCTAGAGTTGAGGCTTATTCTGTGTCTGAGTCCCTGCAGGGAACTTCTAGGGGCATTCCTGGTAGCCCTCAGAGACATCCTGCTCCGTCTATGGTCCAGTCCGGTGACCGTTTGACCAGACAGGAGCCTGACTCTGCTTGTTCATTCAGGCTCCCTTCCTTCCAACCCAGAGCACGAGGCACAAGCCCATCCGACCTTCCCGGGTGGGCTTGTGCCTTGGAGAACAAGGGGATGGAGAAGAACCCAACCATTAGCTCTGGTCGCATCGTAAGAGATGGTTGGAGGAAAGGAGAAACTCAACGCCTCCTCCTTGTCCGCGAAGAGGGAATTGAGGGCTGTATGGCAGGGAGGCCGTCCTTAAATATCTGTGCCTAATCTTTGATGAAAAAAGAGGTGGCTGCTGTCCTTCGCATCTCTCTCTCTCTCTCTCTCTCTCTCTCTCTCTCTCTTCACCCCACAGGTTCCCCTTCTGCCAACTGTATTCCTGCACCCTGAAGCCCCTTTAGTGGTGGTTGCATCCAAAGTACGTAGTGCATCTGATCCCAGCTGGGAAATGTTATCTGCTTGGACTACAACTCCCAGAATCCCCCAGCCAGCTCAAGGCATCTGAATTGCCTTGTCTGTTTTGAGAAGGTAGGTAAATCCGGTCTTGGTTTTTCTCACGGAAGGCCCCAGGTTTCATCCTTGGTCTCTCCATGCTGGTACGAAAGGCCCTTTGCTACAACTCTGGAAAGCGACTGCCAGCTACAGCAGAGGAGATGAACGTAGACAAAGCCATGGTGGAAATTTGTATCCCATAGCTTCCTGAATCCCTACACGTCACTCTGGTGGAGCATTTAAATGCTTGACCTGACAGCATCTCTCCAAACTGTCCAGTCTCTCACCCCCAAGACCCTTTGAACTGGAGATGACAATGAGTCCCACGGGCCTCTAAATTCTGACCACTATGGATTAATTTCATTGCAGATTTCAGAAAATTTAGCTGTTTTGGACTGTGGCCAGAATGGGGGATTATGGGTGTTGTGGTCCAAAAACAGCACTTTCCTCAACCTATTCTCTTTAGGAGAGTGTTCACTTTTCTTTTCTTTTCTTTTTGGAGCATGCTCTGAGACTTGAAACTCTGCTCATAGGAGAGCAAAGTTGGAAAAGACTCCCAGGATCGCCTACGTAGGCCAGCGATTGCCCAACCTTGGGTCTCCAGATGTTCTTGGACTAAAACTCCCAGAAGCCTTCACCATTAGCTGTGCTGGCCAGGATTTCTGGGAGTTGTAGTCCACGAACATCTGGGGACCCAAGGTTGGGAAGCTCACTGACCGATTCCCAAAGCAGGAAATCCAGACCTGAAACATCCAATGCAGAAGGCCGTCCATCCTTTGTCTAAAACCTTCTAATGAAAGAGGCAGGTGTATAAAAGTCACCGAGATATGAGTTTTTGCTCCCCGGCAAGGGATGTTAACTATCGCTGTTGCAAATGTTGCCTGCTGTGGCACCACCATTAAGGCCCAGCACTTCTGGAGAGGAGGAGAAAAAGATAGTAAGCTTCTCCAAACAGCAGGTCCAT